AGGGAAAGATAAGTTAGCTCCTAGTGAAATCAAAAGAAAAAATGATTTTTCTTGAATCTATAGCTTATTTCTTTGACTTCTCTCTAAAACTCAAAGGAAATGAACTTATGAAGTTCATATTTTTTGAAAACATTATATACCTGTCTTCGTTTTTTTTTTCAACTTTGACCTTAACTTAAACAACTAAAAGAAAAACATCTCAACTTAAAACATCGTAAAATATCACAAATCAACACAGCATGCATAAAAACAAAAATACATAGTGTTGCAATAGTTGCACAAACTTTTCATTTTAGTCTCTATAAAAATATACAACATGGACTAAAAGGGAACAAAAATAGCATATATATGTGTGTGTGCATGTAACGAGATGTTTTTAACTATAGGGACTAATAGGAAAAGTTTATGAAACTATAAGACCAATTGAGTAATTAAACAAAAGAAAATATTTAATAGACAATATTTAATACCTTTGATTTTAATTATAAGTAATATAGGATAAATTATCGAGACTAAAAAAAGAATTAAGTTCATATTTTTAATTAGTTCTATGATTAATTCAAATTTTATTTCAAAAATACCCTTTTTCTTTAAGTGATTGTAATATTTAATGTTAATTATAAGTAAATGTATAGGAAATATAGTTAATAATAAATTAGAAGTATAAAAGAAATTTATTGTCCTAAAAAAAGAAATTTATTTTTGTGTAACTTTAAAAGCTATTTGTTTAAAAACTAATAATTCTAGTGGTAGGGGTTGGGTATTGTACACATGATCTAAGATTCAAATGTTGATTAAAATTGTAATTTTGATAGATAAACAAAAAAAATTTTAATTTGCTTCTTATAATTAAAACTAGAGGTAGTATAATTTTATATTTATAACGATTTTAATTACTTTAAAATATACATATTATAAAATATATCCTAATTTAACTTTTGTATTTTTTATTTCATACTTTAACCATAAATAATTCAAGAATTATATTTTTTATAAATACTTATTTTTAATATTATAGTGGAGAGAGAAAAATAGTTTACTTAAGAATGTCGAATTGTCAATTAAGAGGAGTGGACAAAAGAGTGTCTATTTCAATTATGTGGTGTTTTTTTTCAAAGATGTTTATAATTAAGTGAAATACTGATGACACTTTTTTTCTGATTAATATTATTTTTATTATTAATTAGTGGGATTGAGACATTTTTATTTTTATATTTATTTAAAAATGATCAATATTTGTTAAATTAGCTAGTATTATGTTTAATCTTTGATCCTCAAGATCTTGAGTTTGAGTTTTAGATTTGTAAGAATAATTAATTTTTAATATTATTTTTTATTATTTAAAAATTAAAGAATAAAACAATCCAAAAATTATGTGTACAAAAATAAGAGATCACTATTATATGTAGATATAAAAATGTTTATTAAAAACTACAATTTTTTAACGTCTTGTATTATTTAAAATGATTATTTCCTAATATAGTAATAAGATTTGATAAGTTTTCCTAAAATAATTTTTTTAAAAGAAAGTGTATGAAGAATATAGATTCAGATTCTCTAACTTTGAGATATGAAAGTTACGGTAACTTAATGCATTTAAACTGTTAGATTTATAAAAATAAACCAGATTGTGACACGTGTATAATATATATTTTAACTTAAATATACACGTGTCACAATCTGATCTATTATTACAAATCAAACGGTTTAAATATATTAAATTACCATAACTTTCTCTCCATAAAGTCAGAGGATCCATTTCCTAACGTTAATCTAATTTAAATTGAAGATAAAAATTAGCATAGTCCTCAAAGTTGCATCATTGACTTTTTTTTCATTGTTATTTCCCTTTAAAGCATGACACAACATTAAAGCACGGAAGGATGACAACATGTAGGTTAAAGATATGATTTTATAGTACCCGATTTTATATCCATATTTAAAAATAATATTTTTATTTAATTTTATACCTGCGTAAATAGTAGTTTTAATCTCTATCTTCATATTGTTCGATACTTATGTACTCACACTCATACCCGTATTTTACTTATATATAAAGTAAAAAAAAAATCAACAAATAGATAACATTTTAAACAAATAAATATAATATTAATTTATCAAGTCTTTAAC